TTACACCTCTTTACAATTTCTTTTTTGCATAAAAATCTAATAAAATTTTTACCAAAAAAAAAAAAAAAAAAGAAATTCGATTTCACAGCAGGAATTCGAATAACAAATGTGTGAAAATATGTTAAATGTCTAACCACGTTCAGGATGTCTTCGAGTGCATCGAACGGTACGCACTGCGTGACCGGAACTCGATTACGCATTCTTCTAAATACGGAACGAGAATCCGTTAAGGCTTTCCTTAATACACCGACACGACCAAGCTGGTTCAATGCTCATCGACAGCTCGATACGTTCTCTCTTATCTGTCGTTGAAATCTTTTACACGTATTACACAATACAATGGAATTTAATTAAATTAATCAATTAATAAATTGTTAAGACAAATTTATTTAACGATTCTTCTTACTATTTTCAAATATGAGTGGGGGATATGATAATATCTTGATTAAAGATTTTTTTGTTTAGATAATTTCAAGCTTTAAGCAATTTTTTTCTCTGCAAAAATTGAAGAGTATTAATATTTTTTATGTTACGAGTTTTTTTTTTTAGTAGATGTACAGGGGGTTTTAAAAAAAATGAAGGAACACACCTTAATAACTTTTTATTTTTTGCAAAGGGAATCTTGATTGAAGCTTTTTTTTTAAATTAATAATAAAATTATGTATTTCCTTTTGCAAAGGAAAAAGTTCCTCGAGATTTTGAAATTACTCCAAAAATCTTTAATTAAGCCACTCTATATTCGCTCAAAAGAAATGATATATTAAAAAATTAATTTATCTCTGTTGGATGTAATTGGTTTAAAATATATATAGTTCTAATAATCGATGCCTCAATGCGTTTGCATGAATTTTTGAATATTTTTGCCCGAAACGTAATTTTTTTTTTTTTCATAGAATCCTCCGAGTCATCTGGAGTGGATGGAAACTTTTTTAAACGCCTAAACGAATACTTTCATTCGTCCATTTTGCATTCACCCGATTTTCATTTAATTGGGGTTATGTAAATTCATTCGATCTCATTTTTACGAAAATTCGAAAGTTTTCTTGCGCTCATCGTCGTTGAATTTCGCACGATTCAGCTTCGAACGCGGAGCGAACGAAAAGAAAATATCTCAGTTGCGCAACATTACGTATTCGCGATTTTTTTTTATTTAAAATACGATTTAAAATTGTTGTTAAATATTGGAATGTGTTTGAAAAATGAGGAAGAGAATATAATCGAATGTGAATTGTGTATTTGAAAATTGTATTTATAAATATGGAAGAAAGTATTTTCTATTAATTCGTTGAAAATTATTAATCAATCGAGATTTTTATTGATTAGAAATTTTATTAGGATAATAATAATTAAAAAATCAGCTATCGAGTTGATAAGTCTAATTGATCTAATAAAAATGAAATATCTTTTAAAATATCGATTATTCCTTATTTAAACAACGTATTTGAATAATTATAAGAGTTTTATGAAAAATGTAAAATATGAACGTTATGAAAATTAACAATTATAAAAAGATAAAATATTTTCGATTTATTTGAATGCAATGTATTTTCAATCGCGTTTCAAAATATTATATTAGCCTGGAAATTGATTGAACACATATAATATCTCTTTATATGCAAATTAATCACTCCGTTTCTGAATAAAATGAAGAATAGCACGCGATCTAATGTATTTAATATATAAAATTTAATATATGTAAAGATAAATTGATTAAAAATTGTATTTTGGAAATTGTTTATCGTACGAGAAAAAATTCAAAAGGATCACAAATTTGGTAAATTTTTCAATAAAAAAATTTTTCTATATTTCCATTTATAAAAATATTTATAGTAATTTCTTTTAAACTATTACTACTATGTTATTTATCGATCGTGTCTTCTCAAACTTTCCAATTTGATATCTTGATATTTTGTAACAAAACATTTAAATAATTATAACGAGCGATATGTATCTAATCAACAGGAAATCTGTAACTCTACACCTTAACAAATCGGAATAAACACGTGCAAACGTTCAATTGAAATTTTCTTTTACTTTCGAGAAAATAAAATTTCTTTATTTCCACAAAAAATGTATATTTCACTTCATTTTGTTTTTTTTCATTTTTTCCCCCCTCCCTGTTTTTCTCGATATAAAAAAGCTAAAAAAATTACCGTTTCCAGATCGAACAAAAAATTCCAACAATTTTTCTTCTACTTTCGAGAAAATAAAATT